CTTGTGCGTGGCTGCTGATACTCCTGCTGCGCTTCCCACAGTTGGTGCATCTGATGTGTCGGCGAAGCAGACAGTCGTCACTGCAAAGACGGAGGCCGTGGAGGCAGCAAGTAAAGCGGAGGCAGAAGCAATTTCTTTTAAAGATGCACTGAGTGAAGCGGAGACGGCACAGAAGGCGGCTAAGAAGGCAGCAGAGGCAGCAAAGGGCATTCTGACGGGAGGCGCCAAGAAGGCAGCGGAGCTTGGGAACCAGGCTTTGAAAGAAACGTCAGCTGCTGTGGAGGCGCTGAAGAAGCTTGGACCTGAGGACTGTAAAGTGGAATCGTTAAAGTTGTCTCAAGAAAAGAAGAAAGCTGAGGAAGCATTGAATCACGCTGAATTGGCTGTAGCGGATGCTACAAAGGCAGTGTCGGACTGTAAAGGGCTGGTGGAGAAGGCGAAGGTAGAGGAGCAGAACGTGAAGGCAGCCATGGTGAAGGTTACAGAAGCGGCGACGCGTATACCAACAGCAGCGGAGAAAGTTGTAGCTGAGATTCAAAAGGCCCAGCAAGAAGCGAGTAAAGCAAGTGACCTGGCGAAGAAGTACCGCACGGAAGTGGAAGAGGCAAACAAAGCAGTGGAGGTGCTTAGTGCAACGAACGTCACGCTTAGTGCTGCAACAAAAGCGGATGAAGCGGCTAAGAAAGTTCCATCGGGGACAGCGATACCTGAAAGTGACTGTAATGAACTCAAAAACTCTAAGTTTGATGGGTCTGAGACTCTTTCACTTGGAGTGCAAAAAATGAAAGGAGCGAGAGTGCGCACCCCTGAGGATGTCAAGGAAACAGACGGCCTTGAGGCCCTCATGAAGGCAGCAGTGAAACATGCAGATAATGCAGTAGAGCTCGCGAAGACTGAGAAATCAACCGCGGAAGCAGAGTTGCGGCAAGCCATCACGGAGCTGGAAGCCGCTGAAAAGAAACAGAAGGAGAGTGAGAAGCAGAAAGAGGAGATTCTGGAAAGCGAAGTGAGTGAAAGGGATGAACAGAAAGGACTCAACCGTCCCCATCAACCCGACACCACTGATGCCACTTCGAATCCTCCTGCTGGTGCGCTGTTGCCTAAGACTGATGGCACTGCGGATGGCGAGAAGCTTCTTGCTCAGCACACAGATGGCAGCGACGTCCCCGCGTGGGTGCGTGCGCCGCTGATGCTGCTGCTGATGGCCTGTGTGGCTGTGTTGTAAGACTTCTGTGTGTGTGTGTGTGTGCATGGGACGATGATGCTCCCACCGTAATTGCGTTGAGTGCTGAGGACTGCACTCCTGATTGTTATGATTCTTTTGTTTTCGTTTCATTGCTGCCCCGTTGTGGGCGTAACGCCGACCCACTTGCCCTCGACGACAC